CGAGCTCGCTTCGCAGCGCTCGAAAACTGCGAGTAGCGCTTCTGCAGCATCCACCACGAGCGCGTCTCGGGGCACGCGACAACAAGCACGTAGACCGTAAAGGCTTCGCTGCCGACCGAGAGCTTGTCGCTGGCCGGCGCCATGACGTTGAGTGCGCGGACGTGCACGCGGGTCGTCGTCGCCACCATGCTGCGAAATAGGAAATGCACCCAAAGGGCAAAGTGCAAACTCGGCCGTACGTAACGTGCATCCAGATAAAGTCCCACGCGACAGCGTCGCAAGATGGTACGCACAGCCAAATGCAAGGCACTCTGCATCAAGTAGGGTCTTTTTGACGTACCCTTGTTTGTATGCAGAAGGAATCTCGCACGTCCGTGGCGAGGAGACTGTGCGCCAGTGCGTCTCCGCACGATTACAGTACTCGTACAGCAGCCATCGAGTCAGCGTCAAGACAGTGTAGAGCCTTCGATGCTCACTTGGGTGTCCAGTTCCCCGCAGCTGACGCCAAAGCGTTACGTGATGGATGGCCACAAAACGGACGGCCATGAGCGGCGTGTGCGACCTCCGCGTTAGTACTGTAGTGCACAGTGTACTCATATACACATTACATTCCTACTTGAGTCATTATGGTGGTGCTATCATTCGAGTGGGCTTTGTAAACGCGGCCGTATCACATCCAGAATAACGTATTCATGTACAGCTGCATGTACACCTGAATGAAGGGACCGCTATTTGATTTCCGAGGTGGTTTCCGAGGTGGTTTCTGGTTGCTTGGAGTTTGTACGAGAAAACTTGGAAGGAGCACCGGATGCAGTGTGGTCAGCGCGGCTCACTCAACTGGATCTGGTACTTCGAATCTGGGTGATGGCCATGGGCCGTCACATGCACATTTCCGTGTCGACCACAGGCGCAATATATGGGACCCGCCACGCGGAACGTGCATACGATCAGGGATGGCGAGTGGGGCCCATTTCCGTTGTGAGTGAGTACGCACTCACTCACAACTCGCAAACGACAATAGTGAGTGCACTCAGCTACTTGGAGTTAACTCATGCCTATTCAGCGGTACAAATCTTGCGCTTCTTCGATGGCGTGTTCTCGGTGGGGGTCAACGCCGCGGAACGAAGCGTATCAGCAATGTCGATAGCCGACTCAGTCTGCTGGCGTCGAGGTCGAAGAAGTTGATGAACATAGCAGTGGCTTGCGACGTGGACGTCGTCGACCCGAGGGTTTCGGCGAGGGAGCTGTCATCTAGCACATGCGGATGAACTTCTTGTTGAATGCCAGCACAAGAAGCATCTCGAACTTGGCGTTGCCGAGTTTTTATCGCAACGGCGAGTTGATCAGCTTGCAGAGCGAGAAGACGCGCTCCTGGAGGGCGTTCGAGTCCGGACACGCGAGCTCACGAGCTGCAAGGCGCTCGACGAATCGATGGTGGCAGCCGTTTTTGCGCCACCAGAGGTGGACGTCAAAAATCTTCGAGAGATGCACCCAGTTACTGTGAGCAGCCTTCTCCTTCGAGTTGTCGGAAAGATCACAGCATTGAACGCGCTCGAGGAAGTCGAGAAAGCTTCATGTCGGATCGCATTCTATGAGTTCGACGCATGAAGTGCGACGCGACAATCGCGGAGTGGTAGCTTCGACTTGAGGAACACGCGGCACACGACGATGGACTAAGCGACTTCCTCGAGCTTACCAAAATGCTTCCAAAGCCACCACGACTTGCCGGCAATTGCAATAAGCGTCGGGGTGGTCGTAGCGGTGCTGGTGTTGGACGACAGGTGTCGATTCGACGCAAGAAACGGTGATGGTTCCTCCGGTGCTTTGGTATTTTCTTCCTCTCCCCCAGCCATGCGTTGCCACGACAATTGGAATCCAGTACGTTCCGTGGAGTATGTGCGAAAAAGGATCCTTTGCCGGGGATCGAAGTGGTGCCAACACACACTAACTCAACCCACTCACACACACTCACTCAGGCACCCCGCTGAGTGAATCGGCACTCACTCAGAGTGAGTGTACTCTGAGTGGGACAAACCTATTCACGGCCCACTCACTTGCCATCCCTGCATACGATACTAAAGCGTGCATAAGTGCGCTGGTGTTGCTTACGCCAAGCAACCTCTAGAACCCAACACCGGTGCTCCAAATATGAATGCTGACTCGGAATCTCATCCGAAGGCCAAGTGGGCGGTATCAGCGTTTGGTCCGGTACTCTCGAAAAGTCGATCGCGTAGGCTTCGCTTCGCATCCTTGATCATGCTGGTACACTTTGGTTGATTTTGGACGCAAGGTACGTCTTCACGCCCCGCCTTTCGCCCTCTGGAAAGCGCCGATGAGGATAAAGGATGTGCCATCAACGAAGTGGCGCCAATTTAGAATGGCACTAGGTTATTGTATGGGTTGTTTGCGACACGCGATGACGTGGCGCTCTGTGGGCATCCATCCTGTTCCCAAGCACCTGCGTTGCTGGCGGCAACGATGGACACAGGACAAGAGGCAACGCATTTAAAGGCGGCCAGTCATTCTTTGCCTCGGCCAATCCCAGGCTCCAAAGAAAAAAACGACCGTCCAAGCTGTCGCTGGACGGCCCATCATTGCCTGTGGCCGCCAACACGTCGAACCGTCAAGACGAGTGTGCACTAGTGGCGAATTCATATATGATAGTTAAGTATTCTTATATAATCTACAGATAGTAATAATAGTCGATAGTCGTGTGCGTACTTTCCATCGAGCACGCAGAAATAGAAGAAGTGGCACTTAGAGCACGGTGCCGTCAAAGGCGTCGGTGTGACAGACCGGGCACGAGTTCTTTTGCTCGACCCAGTACATGACGCACTCTTCGTGGAACTTGTGACCGCACGGCAACGCGAGTACCGCGTCTTCGTCGACGTCGTTCTCGACTTCAAAATGCACCTTCTTGGCCGGCGCCTGCTCGTCGTCGTTGGTCGAGAGCTCGCAGAGGCAAATGGTGCAGATCGTGCTCCCCTCGGCCGTCACCGTGGTGTCGTCTTCGGCTGGAGGCGCCAATCTTGTGGCATTGGGGGATGCCGCTTCGTCCAGGGAAGAAAGGCTCGTCGACGCGCCGTCGTCGTCGTCGCTGGCGTCCGCGTCGCTTGTGGCCGCGTGCTTTTGCAGATCGTCGTTTTCGTGGTGCGGTACTTCGAGAAAGTCTTCGAGGAGGTCGTAGAGCGTGTCGAGCACGCCTTGCACGACATCATCGGCCGAGTGCTCGAGCGTCGCCAAGACGCAGCCGGCGCGGAGGCCAATGAGCGTGGCTGTAAAGCGCTGCAGCGCCGCTTTGCGCTCGTTGATGATGGCCTTGTTGTTGACACTCACGAGGAGGTGCTTCTGGGGAAAGTCGGCGTCGGCGATTGGCGCGAGGAGCGTCTGGATGGCGGGCGGTGCGGTCGCCGCGAGGTGCAGCAGTCGCTTCCGGAGCGAGAAGAACTGCGAGTAGCGCTTCTTGAGGACCCACCACGCCTTGGTGCCCGGACACGTCGCGATGAGTGTGTAGACCGTAAACGGACTGCTGCCGTAGTAGGCTACGTTCTTGGCGCTCGAGTGCACGCGCGCTTGCTTGAGATCGCTGACCTGCGCCGCCTTGAGCGACGCCAAGTCGTCCTGCAAGAGGAGATGGTCGTGGACGAGATCGGAGAGAGGCATGAGGTGTGCTTCTTGTTAATCGTGTGGGTGTGGTCTGTCCGAGATGGTAAATTGAAAAGTCTGGTTGGTGCCAGTTGCCGTCCAAGATGCGTGCTAGAAAAAGGCTTGAACTTCAATTCGAGTGCCTGTCCACGCACCCCCCTCACATACAAATGCCAAGTTGAATTCGATATTTTGGCTGCCTTTTGCAAAGCGCCCTTTCGCAGACGTGCATTCTTTTTTCCGTCTTCGCAGCGTTCAGGGAGCTTGATAGGATCTAAACGTGGACAACATGTCGATATTTGATATCCTAGATTATTGCGCTCCTCCCAGTTTGCACTTGGACAACGTCATAGCTCTGACGTGGGCAGCACGGACGGACCAGGAAGAAGGACACCTTTGAACGACACGAAAAAAAAGAACCAGATGAGTAGCTAGATCAGTCTGGTGCAACTGGGTCGCAGGTGCCACATCGTTTCCAGCACAGAGCATGTACCACTACGGCGCGACGACGTCTGTTAGTATTAATACCTTAAAGCATCTTCCTTCCGCGCCGCTACATGAGCGATCCCGCTTCTTGCCGTGCGAGGTACTCTCATGGTCTCGGCGGATGTGCCAACGGAAAGTCCAGTCAGCATCCAACCAACTAGTGGCAAACTAGAAGTCCACAGCGTGCACCGATCGGTGCCGCAGAACATTCGAAGCACCCCCTTTCCTCATAGTATCAACGGAAAGATCTTTCGTGTCAAATTTGATACGTTGCGAGCGAATTGATACAATTGGACTCTCGCACGGCAGTCGCGCTGCCACTCGTATCAAAGTGGATAACGCCCGAGATCCATAACCGCAGTTGTCTCGTCTGGCTCGTCCTCGCGTCTTGTACAGAGAGCTCACACCACGACCGCCTCGCATGGGCCTCTTGGTTGCTTCTTTGGCAGCATAAACAAGCATCATTACCATGCGGGTACGCCATAGATATAAATTCATAAGTTAGGCACCGTCGTCTACGCGGCAATGAAGCCGCCGACAGCTTCGCAGCGGCAGAGCGGGCACGTCATCTTCTTGTCCAGCCAGTGCACAAGGCACGACTCATGAAATGCGTGGCCGCACGTGAGCTCGAGCACCGCGTCGTCGTCGGACAGCTCGTCAAACTCACACATGCAGATCGGACACGCATCTTCCGTCGGCGCCGTGTGCGAATGCAGTGGGCGGCCACAGCTCAGACGGTGCTCTTCGTCTTCCACAGCCACCGGCATCTCGAGAAAATGCAGCACCAAGGAGGCGACGTCCTGGGCCTTGCGGCGAGGCGCACCCGGTTGCTGCGCGAGTGCATGGCATGCCTGGCGAAGGCGAATGAGGGCGGCGATGAAGCCTTGGAGCTCACGCTTCCGGTCGCGGATGATCGTCGGGTGGTCAAAGCAAATGTGGCGGCGGGGAAACGCGACGGTCGCCATCGTCGTCA